ATTGTAAGGAATAGAGGTCAGCATACCATATAAAATTCGATAATAACAATTGAAAAAATAGACAATTTATATACATAACATAGGAAATATTTTATTGTAAATAATACAGGGTAAATAATACAGATATGTACCATTGGAAAATAAAAATACGTATTGTAAATAATACATAGAATACGTATTGTAAATAATGTAAATAATACATAGAAAGTTATCATTATTTATATGATTTATTTATAAATTTGTAGTTCTTGTTTTTTTCTATCAAAAAATGCTACCAAAAGAAATTCTAATTGAAGTTTTCATGTCTATACTCGGATCATTTTACTCTTCACTCTTGTGTTTTAGTGAATAGATTCTGGTGCACATGCGCAATTCCTGAATTATGGAAAAATCCGTTCAGAACACCCAAACTTTCTCAAACCCATCATCTAAAATATATAATTGAAATCTATCTTAAATTTTTATCACGAGAACAAGCAGATTACTTTCCACAATGTATTCGTGATAAATATTTAATCCATACGAGCTTCTTATGTTTTCCATATCCATCTTATTTACAAAGAATAGACATTGTAAAAATAAATCTTGCAACAGCTTTATGGTTACGGTGGAGATTACCTAATTCTTTGAAAAATTCGGGAATGGGATTGTTATTAATAAAAGAATTAGCAAAAATGTTGGATAAATATACAAAATCAATCGAAGGTTTTGTTTGTTCTGTTGCTCATCCGGTGAATTTTTTTCAGATATCGATTGAAGGGAATAATCACCGAAGCGGACTTTTTAGATTAAAGAAATTTATTTGTCATGGAGATTATGATAAAACACAATTATTAATTGATGCTTCTAAAGTTTCAAAGAAATTAAAAGAATTAGAAGTTTCAATAATAAAGACATTCGATGAAGGATTGGCATTGAAAAGCTCTTATGGCAACATCAGGATTTAATGACATTCTCATTGCTTAACATAAGCAATGCTGGAATAAAAAGTTTACTAAATGGAATTACAAATATAGACTTGATGAAAATCAGAAACTATCATTATTCTATTTCTTCAAGTATAGCCAGCATTGAATACTCTCGACAAAACGCAAATCCTTTTTTGTCAATGCAACATTTAAATTTAATCAACATTGAATTCAATGAAGTGACATTCATGATGTTATTATCAAAACTTGAAAATCTCGAATCTTTATTTATTAAATCCTGCATAATAAAAAATAATATGCATTTCGAAAAATTATCAACAAGTAAAAAATTAAGAAAATTAATTTTGCCGGATTCGTCTTTATGTATTTCTAGAAAAATTATCTTATAGAACTTAAGAATTTGAATTAACTGTAAAAAATAAAATAAAAGTATACTTTCTAGATAAAGAAGAAATTAAAAAAGTAATTAAATAAAGAGAATTAACTATTGAATAACAAAATACTCTATATAATTTATTATAAATATACAAAGATATTTTTATATCAGATCTAAATAAACTTGGATAAATTAATATTATTCAACATTCAATTAATACTGAAAATGAAAAATCTGTTTGCCAAAAGACTTATAAAGTAACTATATCTGATCAAGAATTTATTTATAATAAAATTTAATAAATATTAGATACAGATATCATTCAAAAATCCAATAATTTCTGGATTTTATCTATTATAATAATAGCAAAGAAGAAGAGCAAGAAATAATTTTGTATTAATTATAGAAAACTCAATACTCTTATCAAGAAAAATACTTATTCTTTATTATAATTAATGAGATAATAAATAATCTTAAAGATGCTAAATAATTTTTATCTATAAATCTTACCTTTGATTATTAGCAAATCAAAATAAAACTATCTAATATAGAAAAGGTAATCTTTATTTTAAGAGAAGAATTATATGAATTTAAAGTTATATCTTTTGAACTTTGTAATCTATCTATAACTTTTTAATAAGTTATAGATAGTATACTTGAAGATTATAATTAAAAATTTATCATAATCTATATTAATAATATAAATATATACTCAAGAACTTGAAAGGAATATCTATCTCACTTACAAAAAGTT